TTGCAGAGCACACAGAAAAACATGACACCAAAATTGAACTGTATGTATAGAAAATTACTTGCGAAAAGATTATGTAAAAAGATTTGAAAACTTTTGTGAAGTAATACCTTTTCCAAAATTAGATCGTCTCCAGACGGCCACCAGACGATCTGAGATCATCTGGAGCATATAATTTCGTCACTTCACATAAGTTTCTGATCTTTTTAGCATGGACAAAAATCTACCTGAGCATGAAGACATTTTCATATCATTGCCTCTCCTTTGTTTTTTTTGCCTTCATTTCTTCTCGCTTTGTTAAATTTCGCGCTCCGATGCCAAAGTCTTGTGCATGCGTAGTATTCAGCTCGAATTTGGATTTTCACTCTTATCTTACGTCTTTTCTTCTAGACTAGCAAATCGTTCTTGTTTTCATCTTCTCCTAAGCAAATAAGTCAAAGGGGACTTCGTAAAACTTCCAAAAGTCAGGGGAGACTTCGTTTTCAGAAACCCTAGAAATCGACTCGTGCCGGGCCCTGGGTGTAGCATGCCGCACCCCACGGTTGACCCTGGTCCTAACAAGGGAATGATTAGAACTCGAAGTGGCCAATCCAAACAACTGCCTACCATCCGATGCAGCAATCAACGCTTATTTCGAATCTGCACATTCCATATCTGCTTAGCGCCTTTGTGGACGAAGTTATGAGTGTTATTGCAAAAAATCGTACATAAAATGCTAAATTTAGCACATTGTAGCATTTCCAGCTTACCTCTGAGAATTAGAAGTGACCTAATTGCATGTTTTAGCCTAGCATTTAACCAAACATGACTCTGTACCATAGCTCGGCACAGCTGGCACCGGATCAAGCTGGATGTCGTTGTTAGGGCGGAAAGCAAAGGAGATATCGTTCTTCCTGGGTCCGGGCGGAGAACAGCCGCAAAATTGCCACAAGCATGCTGTCCATCAAACGAACAAAGGAGTTGTTTTCAGCCAAGATGCATATGACACCAAATCTGGTGTATGCATGCGCGTTGGGGGACCAGAACTATGGCCCAAAATTTATGAAAACTTACGTGAATGAGAGCTGTGCTGAACTTTTTTCTGAATTAGCTGACACCGACACTTTTCTCACATAAGTTTTCATACTTTTTTACATAGAATGTAGCTACACTATAAAAGTTTACATGCAGAGAAGACAATTCCATAACGTTTTCTTCTCAGCGTTTTATAGTCATCTGAAAATTACTCGGTCTGCTCATCAGTCGAAAGATCGACTTCTTCTGCCATTCAAGATGTTATTACCACTTGAAAAGCTCAGAAAGCTGTGGAAAGTTCTTTCATGAAATTAGCATGCATTAAAACCCTGCTACATACTTTTACATAATCAAAAAATAATGACGGGTCCTCAAAACAGGTCAATGGGAACTTCGTACGAAATTTCAAGATCAAACGGGACTTCGTTTTAAAAATTTTCCTGGCGCTAGCTGTGCCGAGCCATGCTCTGTACTGCCGAATTTGCTTTTGCATGCACGATTATTTGAGCAGAATAACGGCCTTTAACGGCTCATAACTTCGCCTACATAGGCGCTAAGCAGATATGTTAGGTTATTTCCCAAGAATTTTTCGCTTTTGCAGCCAAAAATTTGAAGAATCATAACTTTATTCAGAACTGACCTTTTCACTCAAAATAAGTATTATTATGTTTTTTGACAGTATTATTATGTTTTTTGACAGTATTATTATGTTTTTTGACAGTATTATTATGTTTTTTTGACACATACTTGCCAATGTTCCGGAAGCGCGTTTATTCCTTTCTTAATGAAATCTGCATTCAAGGAGCCGACGAAATTTAGGAAGTCATTTTCGACGTCGTGTTCGATAAACAGCTTTCCTTTTAAAAATAACTCAAGAGGCCTGAAGGGGCGATAATCCGTAGGGGATGGATTTGGAGAAGGGGAGGATGAGGCAGATCGAAACGCAGCGCTGTAATTTTCATGAGTAATCCTTCGATACATGAAATTTTGCGTCGCCGTAAAAGAGGATGCCTTTTCTATTTATCAGCACAGCTCGCTGTATCTTCAGCTTCTGATGCACAATCTCCAGATCATTACTGTACGTTTTTGCTGTGGCTGTGCAGCCAGGTTTCATGATTAGAGTGCAGTATAACTGCACTGTTCCACCAAATTGAGATTCTTCCTCGAGTGCTTCTCCACTTTTAGATAGATTCTAAACGGCTCATTCACATCCAATCAATGCGATGACCTCTCCTGTTGTCGAACGTAATCCATTTTTTATCGCAAGTAACAATTTTGTCTAAAAAAGGGTCGCTCTCATGGCGCTGGAGGAGCATTGAATATGTCTCTTACGGCGACTTCTCACTAGTGATTGCGATAACTAATGGGTATCCATTTGGCAAGCTTTTTGACTTGTTCTATTTGCGAAGACTCCCCAAACTGTCTGTGGGATGCCGACAAGGTTGATGATAATTGTTCACAGCTAATCGTGAGGCCTTCATTGACGGCTTCCAACAGCTGTTCCCTTATTTTACAAGAAGGCCGTTCACACCGTAGTTTTTCATCAATGCTCAAGTCTTCACTATCGTATCTTTATCTCAGGATAGGTCCACTTCGCCACATGCAGTGCGCACGTTGATGGCTGCTATAGCAGCCTTACCTACGAGTTTGAATTTATAAAAGGCAGATGGTCAAAAATCTCTTCTTTTCATGTCGTCTTCGACGTCGAGGAACTTTCGACGGTAGCAGTAGATACCTCCAAGATTTTGAATAATGACAAAAACTAGAGACATACCCTATCCAATGATATACAGGGGCCTTCAATCTGAATGTCACGGTCTACGTTGTTCAGTTAATCGCGATTCGCCTCGCTCAGGTGTCCCACGTGCTACAATACCCCATCCGTTAAGGCTTTCGCGATAACGGATGCGGGGTATTGTACCACGTGAAAGACCCAAGCGAGGCGGCTCGAGAAAGCACAGAGGGTTTCAATCTGAGTGCCACGTCGACCGTGACACTCAGATTGAAAGCCCCTGTATGTATCAGTTGTAACATGTTTTGCCAAGTTTGCAAAATGTGGCAAAACCTAACGTACTCAAAAAGCGAAAAAACTCTTGTGATGACCTTATAGTATACAGATTCGAAGTCAGCGTTTTGCATCTAATGGTATGCAGCTTGATTGGATTGGCCAGTTCGATTTCTGATCATTCCTTGGTAAATAGGATAAAGAAGTATGCGACTTGTCATGGGAGGAAATCAAAGTTAAAAAAACTTACGAGACAACCTAGATAGAGCGAAGCTTTTGCGATCCAACCCTTCATTCATATTTCTTTAGCTAACCTTTCAGTTTTTCAATATAAATTCTCTCGTGAGATTTGTAAAAAAAGGCGTAATTCATAATTTTACCAAAAACTTGGAACTTCAGGGTTGGAACTTTTGAAACGGATGATAACTATTTCCAATTTTAGAACGTAAGCTAGTGAGCGTCGCTGTAAAATGCCAAAGTATTGAAGTTTTCAGTATACAGACAGTATGCACTTAATATAGACAACGCGATTTTTCTATCTGCATACATCGCAGAAACTATGATTTTGAGAAAGGATCGGAAGAGATGCGTCGAGTAGTGCTTGAACTCCTTGCTTGTCGATGTTTGACAACTTTTGGATGGACCGAAATTAGAATTCGGTCACTCTTATAAATGGCTCAGAGAAACTGCAACGCAATTTGCAGAAATTAGAAAAGAAGGCATGCATTTTAAAAATTTACTCGTTCTACTGATTATCAATGCATTTCAAAAAGCACGAATTCAAGGGCATAAAGGATTTGAAAATTAGCTAAAGTTGGATAAGGTAAGAGCAATGTGTTAAAAGCATCGGGTTTATTGAGCGCTGCCAAATCCTTTCAGAAGCATAGCTGTCAGAAAAAGGAAAGAATTTTGCGTAAATTGTATGTAAAGTGCTAGCCTACTCTTGTTCAAAGCATTTGCGATTGGATCAAAAACGGCACGAACGTTTGGAACCCAAATTAATATTTCATAGTCACCTACTAACCCCTGCGTATGAACTCAGATAATCGTCAAGAGCAGGCGGACCGCAAACTCGCGCTTTCTTGCAGGTGGTCAGAAATTTGGGGCGAGGCCAAACCTTCAGCGGGCGGCACTTCCTTTACGGTCGCATATTCCGCCAGCGGGCAGCAATACAGAATTTTCTGCGAGCGCTCGTCAAGTTCTTTCGACGAGCGCTGGCCAAGCTTTCAGCGGGCGCTCAGAATCTTTTTAGCGCAGATTCGGGCCTACGCCGAGCAAAGGTAAGACTCTAAATGGCGAAAGTGCTGTGCAGTTCTTCACAAATCCGTGCGACCTCCAATAATTCTTGGATATTCTCTTTAAAGAATAGTTGCGGCGCAATGGCACGGTCGGCGAGGATGCGGCCAATGCGCCGCAACTATTCTATAAAGAAACCGGGAATGTTCCTGATCCGTTCGTTCAAAAAGTAGCCAGCATTTTTCCGAATATCTGCAAGCGGACTGCAAGAAATCAGTGAACCATTTTTCGATGCCCGTTTGCCCATACATTGCATGACAGCCTACCCAGGTGATTATCTGAGTACATGCCAGATCCGGTACCATATCTTCATAAAAATAAATTCTGGAAAAAAGGTCTTTGAGCCTTTCAATTGCAAAGTATTTCTTCGTAATTCTTGATTTTATTCTAAGACTTTTCACTTAAACGATAATAATTAAGTGGATGCATTTTCACTGCGTCCGTACGGAATCCCGCCTGTGGAGGATTAGAGACATAGAGTCTAGATTCATTCTACCAATCTTCTCAAAAAAGAACATTCACTTCTACAGTCTTGGTATGTAATTGCAGTACTTATTTTTCCTCATTCTGTCCCACCAGATCTTCAAATCATGTTTCTCCTTATCCTACACAGAACGGATATACGGAAAACTTTAGAGAATTGTCGTAGGGAAAGAAAAGCCGGCCGTCTGATATCATTCTAACTCACTTTCTGTCCTTTTTTGACGCTAGGTCCATGCAAGACAAGCACTGCGCGCGACTCCGGCTCATTTGGGTCTAGTCCATGTATCGACATATGCAAAGGTTTATGTTGATTTCTAAAAGTTACAATGAAAGGAGAATTTAAAAAAGCGCTAACTTTGCTTCTTTCACAGCGCTACAGTCAAATTTGACTTCGTATCCGGGTTCCGCTTGGAGTATAATGTCTCCAATTCTTTGGCTTGAATGAGCTCCTTCCGTATAATGAAAGCGGTTGTCAAAGTTCTGAAAAGGATTCTGGAGTATATAGAAGCAGAGGCAGCGAAATTGGCGAAGGTCGGACAGTGGATATTTAGGAGATAAAAAAAAACTTGTATGTCATTTTGGTTCTTTGAAGAAATATCTCTTATTTGGGAATTGAGCTTTACTGACTATCCAGGTTGATCCATCTTAGCCTACAGCCTGATAAGGCACCTTGACGCGCCAATAATCTCTCAATAAATCAGGTTGATGCAAATCTAATGGATGGCCGCAGACTGTGGGTCCTCAATCTCAAACTGACTTTTCTCAAATATCTATGCAGATACGATACCAGGCTGAAATTTCACAGACATGCTTAGGAGGCTTTGTGGTACACAATACCTGAATTGGAGAAAAGGGGCGGAATTAGAGGGAAACATTTCCGATTTTCGGTTTTCGTTTATCTCAAATTTTAAATGAGAGAAAACTACACCAAGTGCATAAATGAACGTTGGTTGTCTACTATGTGATGACCAACTGGAAGACTTGTAGGTTTTCTCCGGGCAAGGATACGACTTTTAGTTGGCCAAATGCTCACAGATTTTGGCTTCAAACTTTAGTAAACCTAATGTGTAGGTAGTTCTTGGAAGCCACTTTGTAAAGCTTGCTTTCATCTAACGAACAGTACCTCATTCGTATATTTCTATACTCACATGCTTTTTTAGCGCATGCTACGGACATGATTTCGGACATTTTTTTTGTATCAACATATATGAAGAAAGTCTATGTGAACAGGGACAATTATACGTTTTTTGTAGCCTCTTTTCTGCACCGTTGAGCACTTTGCACACTAGCCTATGGTAATTCTACCATAGGCTAGTTTAAGCCGATTCGTGGGACCTTTTAATTTGTTAATTTTTGGCATCTTACGATGGTCAGTGACAAGTGACAAGTGTCAAGTGACATACCATTCGAAAGAGCTTTTCATGCTCTTTTGAGCGATATTTCAAATGCCTAAGATTTCTTTTCAATTTCAGAAAAAAAAGCGAAAAGTACTGAAAAATTGCTATTTTTGGCGCAATAAAAAACCAAAAAATCAGGTTTTGCCTTATATTTTCCGAAGATAGGTAAAATCTGAGGTAATATGCACATGGATGGATAGAGCGTAAAAAGCTCTATCAGAGGGTACCTAGAAAACATGCGTTCACCTGCAAAGAATTGAATAACGCGTATCTTTATTCTCGAAGCTGCTAATGGCCATATCTCCTGACTTTGGAAGTTGAGGCCACCAAGCCGTCGTGGGTTTAGTGACTGTCCCACCACCCACTCCAGCAGTGGTACTTGGATGGTCTCACATGTTTCACTGTGCAGATACTGCCCAAAGTTTATAATTTGTCAAAGCGACTAAGTTTGCATTTTAGCTACTATAAAAATTATATCGTATGTGACCTTATATAGGTACTATCTGAAAGAGAATAATTCATTCTAACATCTATCAAAATTGAAAAGTTCAATAACTTTTCTTTTTTGAGAAATCTACATTCATTCTCTAGGTGCCCCATTTTTTTACCGATCATCCTAATAGAATCATTCAACGCGAATGCTCTCTACGCAAATGTGAGCCGAGCTGCTAATATGCCATGAAAAGTCCCTTGATCTTTACGGACTGTCCATAACACAAATCACAGCTCCATTGAAAGCCTGTTAGGGTTGTGATACTTTTCGATGGTCTGGAAGCTACCTTATGCAAATACGAGGACTAGCGATGGGACAACGCTTCACCGGTACTCGCGATAGCAATTATGGCTAAAATAGAAGCGCTTATTCTAGAACACCGTCCCTTACTCTACTGTAGGTAGATTGATGATTGCTTTGTTATTTGCGCGACACAAGCAGAGCTTGACGAATGTTTTGTATCACTCAATAAGCAATAGGAATATAGGACTGACGAGAAAGAAGCTGGAAAACGATTGGTTACCACTTTTAAATGACCAACTCATTAACGAGAAGATTCCTTTCTACTTCTCCTTCATCTCCACGGAGATAATTGCAGCAGTGCGCAGGAGCCTTAAAGGAACCGTCTACCCAAAGTGGGGACTGACGAGGTTATAATGTTTTATTAGTGTGGGCCCACACTAGGCAAACCCCTAAGGCCAGCAAAAGATTGCTTCCGAAGCAAGAAATCCGCTTCGGAAGGGACGTAATCCGGTGCTGGTCACCCCGCCCACTTTGCAGGTTTGCAAATGACCGCCCGATGACGTAATGATATCAACGCCGCAGCCCCGCGACTTGCAAAGCGCCCTTTTGAAAACGGGGTTTTTGGGGTTTTGCGGAATCCTTTTCGACTCTATATTCGAAATCAGGACCTTCGGTAGGCTGGAAGCGATGAAAATATGGAAGTCGAGAATTTGGGTAGACGCCTTTAAAAAAGTAGGACTAGTTGATTTGGTGTCGATAGTATTAGTGCCATCGAACAATTTGAAGCGCATTTTTATAGGAAATTCCAAAGTATGACAGCAGTTGTACTATAGACAATCGTATCATATGTCCAGGAGATGAAAGCGGGATTGTATGTCAACTGGGGTGGTCTATTCCATTTTCTGTACGGTCTGCAGAGACGAATATGTAGGTGAAAACGCACGGCTTCTATTTATTCGTGTAAAGGAACACCTAGATCGCAGGGATGAACAGCGAACTTCCACTCCGTTAGGAACACACAGAGTACTAAGTGAGTTTGAAAGATCGAGTTTTGAAGTGATCGTAAATATATTAGCACGTGAACTCAGATGGCTGCTCACAAATTTCTGGAAGCATGGTGGATCCATGCTAAGAACCCATAATTTAACCGAAAAGAAGAATGCGAACAAAGAACGAGAGAACTGTTTGCTTATCTGAGCCAACTGTGCTGACCTTCTATTTAGTATTTCCATATACGGTCAGTCGCGCCCGTTCTACCAAGGAACTGTTTGTATGGTAAGTGACTGCTGCAAAGCTACTGGCCAAAATTAAAGCTTAGACCTCTTTTTCGTGACGCCGTAAAGACATATGCCCGTCTGGGTTACTAGTCGATACCTCATTCAGATTCTGACGAAGACGAGAAGCCGAAACGGTAGCCAATAAAGTTTGTGACAGTCCCGGCGTTCGCTACAAACATCAATCTCAATTTATAGCATTTTAGTTTCGGAACTCCTCCTCTCTTCTTGTTAAGGCCCAAAATAGCAACCTTCCATTGAAAAAGCGCTCCAGTCAAACAAGCCGTGCAGCTGGGGCGTTCAAGTGAAGAATCGTAAGAGTAGAGAGTAACAAAGGGAAATTCGTTTCACAGGTACCATTTGCCACCCTCGCCCTGATTAGTACAATGGCAGCAAGATTTGCATGCCACGGAAAGGCCCGTTTGCGACGCAGAGAAGCGAAAGTCATGCAAACGGTGGTACCTACAAGAAGAAAGCTGGGACACAGAATACATGTGATTAGCTGCCCGAATGGCATGCTCCGTCAAACGCAAAAAAAATTTCGTTGATCAATTGCTTGTTATGAGTGAACGCTAACGCATAGATGATGAAGGCGCAGTTTTCTTATCTGCCTCTAATTGCTTAGGAACTTGTTTGTGACCAAAATTTTTTTTTCAATTTGCTTGAGTGAAGAATATATCAGGTTGTCCCATAAGTTCCGTCCGTTTTGAATTTCAATCGCAATAAATCATGAGCATCTTGTTTGTAGATAGGCTCCAAGGTACCATTCAATAGAGCAAAACAATTTCTACAGGATGGCATCTCGCTCTTGCAACAGCTCTGACCCATCTCGAGTTTAAAGGAAAACTAAAAAGATTCAACTGCCCGAAAAATCGAGAAAAAATCATAACTCCGTTTGAAAAAATCCTACAAAAATTCTAACTTGCCCGCGGAAACACTATCCATTTAAAACATTTATATGCGCAGTTGCCGTATTTTTTTATGGTTAGAAATTAAGAAAACGAAGAATTTCATGTTTTGCTAAAGCGATGCTGTGCTGTTCCTACATACGTGTTTGTGTACTACAGACCAGTACAAGTACAGACACAAATTTTCAGCGTTCTATGGCCCCGGACAGACTTCACGCGATTTGATCGTCGCGACTGAATCGCGATGAGACAACTGTTACAACTTCATTCCATGCCGATCAACTTGCATTTCGGCTGTGATACTTTTCCAGCCCGAAATTTTTGAATGTGAAATGAAAATGAATGGAAATGTCGGCGATTGAGTCGCGACGATCAAATCGCGTGAAGTCTGTCCGGGGCCTATAGGCTTCAGCTCTCGAGAAATAATCGTTTTAATATGGGGACACCCGACTGTGCGAAGCTAGCTTCAGTGTTTCTCGAGAACTAAAGCCTGTAGAGCGCTGAAAATTTGTGTCTGTACTTGTACTGGTATGTAGTATACAACTACTAGTGTGGAAACAGCACAGCATCATTTTGGCAAAAACATAAAAATTTTCGTTTTCTCGATTTCTACCAAAGGAGAAAATAACGGAACATTGTATATAAATTGCTGATGTGGATGTCTGTGAACAAATTAGGAATTTTCCAGGATTTTTTTGGAAGGAGTTACGATTTTTTTTCGTTTTTCGGGCGGTTGAATCTTTTTGGTTTTTGGCTTCAAACTCGAGATGGATTTGAACTCTTGCGAAAGTAAGAAGCTCTTCTTGTAGAGCTTGCTTTACTCTATCGAAAGGTACCTTAAATCCTGTCTAGAACAAAGAAGTTCATGACTTATTGCGATCGAAAGCTAAAACGGACGGAACTTATGGGACAGCCTGATACATTTTTGATACTCTTAAAAATCTGGAAGGAGTTTGGATAAAGTACGCAGGTATCCTCACAAAATTTAGCTGCACCTTTTGAACAGCAGTTGGTCTCAACGTTTCAAAATCTACGAAGCCAATATATGAAGAACGCACCTCTTTTTTGAACAGCTTAATTTTGTAGCCGTTATCGCTAATGGCCCGAGTTAGCGATGCGTAAATCTCATCTGCATGCTTCTTATCTTCTGCGTAAATCATATTGAAGCCCCAATGTATGCGTTTCATGTCGACGTGGTCTTCTATGCATAAGACGCTGTCTACACCATTAACCTAAATTGTAACCGCATTATATAGGCGGATACTTAGGAAGAGGAAGCTCGGTGACCGTGGTTTTTTTTTGATATGTTACATATGTCATGATATCCCGTGAAAAGCTGATCTCGACACTGTGTTCGCTGCGGATCGACTCTTCAAGAAACCGCAACTCTCGGTGTTCGCACAAGAATACGACTAATGTCGAAAGCTGCTATGTGTGTCAAATGGTGTATCGGTTACCTTGTCGACTTTTGCACAATTAGCTGGCCCCGGCTTCGCCCGGCACAACATACACTTCAAAGTAAAAGAAGCCGAAGTCGAATTTCTCAAAAACAAATACAACTTTGGCTCTTTAATCCCGTTTTGTTCCTATCCATAAGCGGTTTGGCTAAAGAAATCGGCTATTCCCGGAACTCATCAGTAAAGAAGGGGTTGCTTAAATCTATTCAATTTCGTGTTTGTCCAACCATTTAACCGCCGCTACCTGATGAATTTTTCCGTTTTCTGTTATTCAATTTCTTCCGGACTCTCAATAAACTGGCATGCAACAGATAAATACTGTGCTATATTACAGCATGCAATTAGATAACTTCTGGAGTACACTATGTTAGCTGTGCGTCCTTCGGGCACATATACGTACAGGTTCGTTAGACACCTGACCTGAAGCACGCCACGTACAGTTGACCATGCGAAAAACAGGGGATTTCCAAGTCTACCCCTACTACATCAGTGGTAGAATTTCTCTGCCATTGTCAAATGTGATACCCGTCTTCCCCATCCCAAACATGACAGCATTTTGTATCGATGCAGCATTCATTGCAACTCTAAACGTCCGGCCTTGTGTCACCGATAACCGCAATGTTGATTCGTTTGCGGCTGCTCGTCGCAAACGAAGTACAGCTGCAAGAACTTGGGGCTCTCATTACCAAAGGGAAGCAGAAATTCAGCTCTATGATAAATCTGCACCTGCACCTTAAACCTTGGCATGAAGCCCTTTTCCTCATCCACGGCTAGTCGAGTAGTCAACCTGGGCATTGTAATTGAACGTCGGCAGATGGGAACTATTCGCCTGGATGTCTGTCGAGCGTGATCACCTTCGAACGGTACTGAAACGCTGCACTATCACTTTTCGTGAAGCCTCAGTCCTCATTCGACTGCTTTCGAATCGAAATTCGCTAGCCGTCTCTTGAGATCTGGCTCTTCTCTTTGCTGTTCGCTCGTCTCTTAAGATCGGCATGTCTCGCTCGACCATATTCGAGTCGAGATTCGCGCTGTTCAGCCAGCTCCTGAGGTCTGGATTCAGCGGTTCTCAAACATGTATCTCTAATTCGAAATTCGCGCTGTTCAGCCGTATCTTCAAATCTGGCTTCAGCGTATACCACTCGATCGTTCCCGAGTCAAGAGGCACGCTTTCGTGTGACTTTGAGGCTCTTAAAGCAGCAGGCCGCAAACGAGTTTGCGAAGAATTTGCTTCACGGTCTTCCAGCTTGTCACCCTCGCTTCGGCTACTCTGGCACGATTGCCTTCTAGCCATCTGGCGCTGCTCAGAAATCTCAGCCTCCCTCTGATCCGCGACCTTCTTGGCCTTTGGATCTACTCTTCGAATGTAAGCACGTTTTTCTGGCGGCATCCTACCACGTAAAGCGTTTGGGCACTTATCTTTCGATACTCAAGATAGTGGAGCCTTTAGGCTTCTTAGTGCAATAAAAAGAACCTTTTGGCTTCTCAGCGCACGAGCTAGTGCCTTTCTGTTCGGTACTCGAGTAAAGCAGCCTTTAGGCTTTATTGCTCGGTTCTCAGATTCTTGATCCTTTAACTGGTCCTCAGATCCTTGGTCCTTTGACTGGTAATCAGATCTATGGTTATCTATTTGGTCCTTAGATCCTTGGTCCTCGCTTGGTGTTTGAAGCTCTTAGTTGTCTACTGGCAGCCAACTAGCAGAGTCTGGGTGACTGACAATGCGCCGCCTTATATTATATACCATTCAAAAAGGGACGGGCTGACCGTGACTGATCGCTTCAACTCGAAAGGGGTGGATAGATTTTTGGAAAGCCTATGCGTTTTCTTAGACATTTGTGGTTAATCGCGCGATTTGCCGCGCTTGATTCGACTGAGTTTAGCGCAGCAGTACTTATTTTATCGCGATACCACGTTTTGTGAGCAGTAGATCTGCCCACAAAATGGGGCATCGCGATAAAATAAGTACTGCTGCGCTAAACTCGCTTTTGTGGCGACTTTCGGGTTAATCGCGATACTAAAAATAAGGTGAGCGAAATTCCCACCCGTCGCTACTGCCCATTAACTCGCGATCAAACGTACGCAGTCAAATCAAGCGCGGCAAATCGTGCGATTCAAACTGCACTCATTTTAGTTGGCCTCATTTTCGCTCTTCAGGCTGATTTAATTGCTTTCATCACATTTTCTTGTTGTTGGCCTGTCTTGTGACGGTATTTTTCTATATCCTATCCTGTTTTCAGGTTCAAACTTTTTTACTGTTGACTTCTTAGCACGCAGAGGGACTGAGCCAGGTCACCACTTCGCCGGGCTTAGTGAGTCAAAATCACTACCCAAGAAACCCCAACCCCGCCTTCAAAGGTACCGTCCACCCTAAGTTGAGGATGTTGAGCTTTTGGCAGCATATAACAGTAGGGCCTCCTATTAAGCTAATGCCCAAATCGCGGCACAATATATTGCTTCGGAATAGCGAAGATGCGCGAGGACCCCCATCCATACACGCCCCTCCCCGTCCATGCCCGCCCATTTGCGCGCGCCCATCCAATCACCGTTCTGGAAAGCCGGCCTGTGGGTTCTCCGGAATGGGGTTTGTCGGGGTTTTCGTGGATTCTCGACTCCATATTTGGAATCAGGAACAAGAGAATGCCCTGAAACGACAAAAACCTGGAAGTCGAGAATCTGGGTGGACGGTGCCTTTAAACAGCACGCAAGCCTCGCTGCGGTCGCGTGGGTTTTCTTACGCATCATTCTTTGGCTTTAAGCAAACGAGCAGCAGTTTGATTTGAGCCTATCGGCAGTCCATTCTGAATTAGACCATAAACTCAGAAACTTTTGGCTAATTTTCTGAGAGTTTTCTAGCTTGTTTATCTTCACTTTGGTTAGCAAGTAATGCAACAGCACTCTTTCAATGCTCGCTTCTTCTTCAACGTGGTACTTCTCATGTTTTTGAAAGAGGAATCAAGTTTTATTTCCATTGATCGAAAAATACGCGATCGATCTGGTGATAAAAAGGTGATTTAGTATGCAGCAAGAAAGTCGAAAAGATTCTTCATTTTTAATTTTGTAAACCTTCAAAAAAGAGCTTAATTTTTGAATTATTGACATCAAATGGATCCATAGCAGTTCTGCTGTTGATGCAACTGAGTTTCAAATTCTATGATTTCTGGGATACTGCCAAGAAAGTGTCGGAAAAAGGGTACACTGGATTAGCATACTCTCGGTTTCTTGCTGCAGGTAGCATAGCTGACACTAAATTGCCTTTACTGTTTTGAAAGTCTCCTATAGGTATGGCCAAGGGGATGCCATTGCTTATTAGCGATGTACATTGGAGGCGCCTCCCTTAAAAGTGGTGCTTATCCGTACAGTTTGAGCGTTACACTCTTCCAATACATATATATATATATATATATATATATATATATATATATATATATATATATATATATATATAAAGTGCGGTTCATAATTATACGAACACCCAAAATTTTGTAAGATTTTGGACTTTTTGGGAGAAACTCAAAAAGCCGTTGGTATCATGCGATAGAACACAGCCGAAAACGGTATATGATCCATAAGAATGAAAATGGATGTTAATTTCGGGAGTGTTTTTGCGCCTAGTAAGAATTTTTACCGGTTCATAATTATACGAACACCTCAAACAAAGGTTCATTTTTTATTCAAGATTGCAGTCATTTGAGTCCAAATTCTTTGTAAAGCTACAGTAACGAATTCTGACGTGTCCGATACACACTGAACCCAGTGCAGTTTAAAAAGAGGACCGTTACTTTTCTCAGAAGGCTCTAAACGCTTCTGGAGGATTGCGCTCCAAAAACATCCGTTCTTCTGCGGTTTACGCGCTATTAGCTTATACCAAAGCTATGAGATAAAATAAGCCCTTTCGATGGGTACCTTGTCTGACGCTTAGAAATTCTTTGTGCTTTCGTGCCGTTTTTCAACCAAGTTCCAACCTTACCACAGAGTTAACACGATTTCGAGCCTCAAAACTCAGCTTCTCTCTCGCGCAAACATTTGATATGAAGCAGCTGCATTGTTTACATGATGATGTTTCTGCGCCAAAGTTTTTGGGTTTTTTGTGGAACTGATCTTGAGGCTGTGGAGCTACAAACCAAATAAAGGTGTGATTGCAGTAGTAAAAGCAGTGTTTTTGATGAAATGACCTCTGCGTGGCCAAAACAAACGCTCAACGCTGCTGATTCCTTCTAGCCAAATATACAATCTTGTGAACTTCTACATACTATATGCTTACTTCACTGTACGGCTTCAAAAGCTGAGTTTTGAGGCTCGAAATCGTGCTAACTCTGTGGTAAGGTTGGAACTTGGTTGAAAAACGGCACAAAAACGCAAAGAATTTTTAAGCGTCAAACAAGATACCCATCGAAAGAGCTTATTCCATCTCATAGCTTTGGTAGAAGTTAATTTGAGCGCGCAAACCGCAGAAGAACGGATGTTTTTGGAGCGCAATCACTCCAGAAGCATCTAGAGCCTTCTGAAAAAAAGTGACAATCCTCTTTTGAACTGCACTGGGTTCAGTGTGTAGCGGACACGTCAGACTTTGTTACTGTAGCTATACAAAAAATTTGGACTCAGATGACTGCAATTTTGAATAAAAAATGGACCTTTGTTTGAGGTGTTCGTATAATTATGAACCGCTAAAAATTCGCACTAGGCGCAAAAACACTCCCGAAATTGACATCCATTCTCATTCTTATGGATCATATACCGTTCTCGGTTGTGCTCTTTCGCATGGTACCAACGGCTTTTTGAGTTTCTGTCAAAAAGTCCAGATATTTCTAAAATTTGGGGTGTGCGTATAATTATGAACCGCACTTTATATATTACGCCGAGAAAGTTTGTGCTGTTTTTTAGACCCATGTTTACCTCAGAATAAAGACAAGCAAGCATTGGGAAGCGTTCCATCCAATGTTTCTTATTCTTTTAGCAATGATGTTTTTATTCCGATTCCTTTGAAGGTAGCTCAAATAATTGTCAGAATTTCCAACCCGATTTTTACCTATGTTTACTTTAACTTTTCGAAATTTCCATTTCTGACTTTTGGAAGAGCTTTGATCACTGGTGGATAGAGTAAACCAAATGCAACACTTTGCATTTTCTGGAATTCATAACTGGATTTTCAAAATTTTTGAAATGATTTATTTTGATGCTACCATTCCATATTTGGTCATCCCAAGCCCCACAGAGCATTGAACGGTGAGTTACAAGGGTATCATTCAATGCAAATTTTTTCTTTCGGGCAAATGTTTTTACTCCTCCTAAGCGCACACAAGCTGTAACCGAAAAATTCGAAATTCGGTACTCCGAAGTGAACACTCATTTGCTTTGTGTTCGATCATAGATGACTTCTATAAGTTTCAAATTTCGAATGTTTACCTATGTTTGAACCGTCTCTGTATTTCACTATTTCGCAGGAAATGAAGACTTTTGAAAAACTTTCCGAATATACTTGCCAGTCAATCGAAACCCAAAAAATTCACTGTCTTGCATTTTGTCTACACTACCCAACAGCGGTCAAAGCTCCTCCAAAATCTAGAAAAGGAAATTTTCAAATAGCTCAAGTGTCGCCAGCGACAACAAGAAAAAACAAGTAAATATTTGAGGTTTGCAAGATACAGTAGCCTCAGTCTTGCAACTTTACTTTAGGTCATGAAAAACAGTGCGGCCGACGTTAGTTAAAGCGCCAACTGCGCCAGATGGGTCTAACTGGCGAGTCGAGATCCAAAATGGTTGCATGGCCGGCTAAGGGCCGGTGACTTCATTCCCTCGCTACTTATCAATCTTGCATGGTCATATACTCGTAGGTACAGTAGTATTACCTTCAGCCTTTTATGTATTCTCTGCCTGCTAAGCGTAACTCGTAGCTAAAAAGATAACAAGTATTGCAGCAATTTGAGTCAGCTCTAATTTGCATGCGTATTTTTGTCATTCATTTGTTATGTAATTTCTAGTTACATGTTTTATGTTATTTTGTTGCGTCTATTTTACTGTTTCCAAAGTAAATGGTTTAATTACCCAAGTTTGAGCTGAGGTACCCTGTGGCAATTCGTCAAGCATATCGAACCTCTTGGTTTTAGACGATTATCGTTCTATATATATCTCGTAAACCTCAACTTCATCAAGTGGGGTAGATAAGAATTGTGGGCTGGAGGTTCTGATAATTCAAGCAACCATCAAAGACATTGGAACAGAAACACACTCTAGATAGAGGAAGGAAATTTGCATCGAACCCTATTTAGAGCGTTTGTATCTTTGTTTTGAACGGTTTCAGGATAGGTCTTCAAAAACTCCATGAACTTTCGAACTGGACTATTATATATATGCAAATACAGAGTGTCCCAAAAAGATGTGCACACTGTTTGATCGTTAATAACTCTCTTGCTTTCATGTCTTTTGCCGAGCTTGAGGAATCATTCTGTAGAGCGAGGCTCAGCTTAGACTTACAGTATGGAGCGAATTACCAATCACTCTTCGTTACTGTAGGATCACAGTATAAACTTTCAGCATACAGCGTCACCGTGGAATAAGCCTTTTGATGAAATATTTCGAAAAAATCTAAAAATTTGTGTAGCAAGGTTTTCAGGCGTGTTGATTTTACTACATAACTTTCCACCACTTTTTCGAGCTTTCTTGATGGCGTATTCACATTTCTGACAAACATTGGCAAATCAGTTGTTACAATCCGAAATAACTCATGAAAGAAACAGTGTACTGATGTACAATTTTCATATTTAGGATATTTTCATGTTTAGGATCAGCAGCTTCCATTGACCCAGTTCAAGAGTTTCTTGCTTGTTTGGCTTTCTCCCTGAGGCAAAATACCGCTTTCAATGGCTTAAAATCCTTCTAAAAATTCCTACCGTAATCCTACCGTAACAAAGAGCTGCAGATAAGTCGCTCTATACTGTAGACCTAAGTTGAACCTCGCTCTAAAGAATGGTACCTCAACTCCGGCAAAAGACATGAAAGCGAGAGAGTTATTGACAATCGAACAGTGTGTACATCTTTTTGGGACATCCTGTATTCATTTCGAAAGTAATTTCGCTTTTTTCCAACGGACGCCACATGTGATGTAACAAAGACATCTAAGAGATCTTGGTAGCATTCGATGCAGAACTTCATCCTTTTTCCAAAGGTTATATTAGGTTGTCCGGAAATTAATGCAGGTTTTGAATTCCAACCGTAATAAGTCATACGCTTTTCATTTCTAAGTAGGTTGCAAAACACCATTTAATAGAACAATGCAAGCTCTACAAGATGTGATTGACCATGAGTTTCGAGCCAGAAACCAAAAACATTCAGCTGCCCGAAGAATTGAGAAAAATCTTAACTCAGTTCATAACAATCTTACAAAAATTCTAACTTGCTCACGTAAACGCAATCCACATAGGGCATCTATATACACCGTTGCCGTACGTTTTTCTTTGTTAGAAATTAAGAAAACGGAAATTTTCGTGCATTTGCCAAAGTGATGCTGTGTCGTTCCCATATAAATCGTTGTATACTATCCGTAGAAGTACAAACGTAAATTTCCAGCTCTCTACAAGCTTTAGTTCTCGAGAAATATCGAGTACAGTTTTCCCTACCCATGTGGTCCAAGCTAAAATTCAAAATTCTCGAGAACTAAAGCTTGTAGAGAACTGGAAATTTACGTTTGTATTTCTACAGGTCTGTAGTATACAACGATTTATGTGGGAACGACACAGCAGTGCTTTGGCAAAAGCACGATAATTTCCGTTTTCTTGATTTTTAACAGAGAAAAAAGAACGGCAACGGCGTATATAGATGCCCTATGTGGATTGTGTTTACGTGAGCAAGTTAGAATTTTTGTAGGATTTTTATGAAATGAGTTACGATTTTTCTAAATTTTCCGGGCAGTTGAATCTTTTTAGTTTTTGGCTCGAAACTCGTGGTAAATCAGAGCTGTTGCTAAAGCAAGATAGCCTTCTTGTAGAGTTTGCTTTGTTCTATCGAATGTTATTTTGCATACTACCTAGAAATGAGAAGTGTATGACTTATTGCGGTTGAATTTAAAACCTGCATTAATTTCCGAACAACCTAATAAAATTATTGCAGCATAGTCAATGAGCTTTTGAAAAATTACGAAAGTCTCCGATCCATGCTTTCTGAGATGCTCAAGTTTCACAATTTTTCTAAATATGTACATCAATCTTCCGAAGGAATCCAAGTAACGATTTGATGGAGCAAACCCTACAGGATACAAAACCATTTTTTTCTCTTTCACATAACTCCTTAAAACTTTTTAAAAGAATTTTGATTCATGCTACCAATTTCCATTCTTGGTCAACTACAACCTGGTAGAACACCAAAACAAAAATCCTTCACAATTATTATCTTGATCCGCTCCTATAATTATCGCCTAGAGCTTGCTGCCAATACTGTATTTCCTATTACAATTTACCACCAGCAATAAAGTACAATTTGCTGCTAACTGGCATATGTTTTACGACAATCACGATCTCTGAGGGAGTTTTGCACCTCGGCGGGACGAGGTGCGAGGCTGCCGTGAAAATCTGGTGAGAGTGTGTGAAACAATACGCGCTTGCTGTAGCTCAGCTGCTGGGCTGGTGCCTCCTACGACGGGTGGCTGCGCACCAGGCGACTGCCTGGCACTTGCGCGCCTCGCAACATGCGTTATGTAGGAAGCTGTCTTAGAGCGAGAAACTCGATTTGTTGAGCAGGTAGGATATGTTTTCTTTGCCATGTATCTATAGGCCGAATTTTCCGTTGGTTCTATTATGACCAGCGCTTAATGGCAAAAGCGTCCTTTTCCAAACATAATCCAGGTTGACAATAAGATACAAGATATGTTGAGCTAAAGACCATGTTCTTGAGCTGTAAGGTACCTGCGTGTGTCCATGATCTGCCGTGAAGATGATATTGACTTTGTCGCTGAGACCACTCGATTTCATCTTTTCCAAAAAGTACCCAAAAAGAATGTCGAGTTCTCGCATCCTTTCTTCATAATAGCCATCATAAAAGCCGTGTGTATGCAACACACGGTCAGGTTCACCGATGTACCTATTAATGTGATCTTTGGAAAAAAAAGCATTCCAGCAGCACAAAGCCTACCAGGCTACAAAGTTTACAGGCGAATAAGTATTGGTAAACAATTCCACTATTTCATCTACATCTTTATTGCGCTCCCGCAAAGGACGATCGTCAATCCAATCAACTCTAAAATTAAGTTCAATCTTTAATTGTCATGTAGTTGAACAAGGGGGAGACGAATGGCGCAGTGGTATGAGGCGCCGCTATGACCAGATCAAAACCAGGTCAAATGCCGCTCCTTGGCCTACCAGGTCCTCCACTTTCCGTGGCCGGTACATTGATATCAGAATAATTTGGGAGGATAAATGCACTGACTTAGTAATCGGCTGGCCCCCGCAAGTCACTGTAAAAGGCTCGTGCACATTCAGTAGTCTCTTTGAATTTGAGGTAAAGTGCGTTCGGCGCAAGCCCGCAGAGGGTATTGAAGACGCCAACTCTTTTATCTTCTTATACTTGAGCACGAGCTGAAGAAATGGTGTGCGTTTCCTCATTTAAGTTAGAAAATGAACGAAACGTTTGACTTCCCGGATGAAACATTTGGCGAATAAAAATTTTACTTTGTGGGATTAGCCTTACCTTACAGGTGATGACCCAAGAACTTGCGTCCTTGTTAGCCCTAGCTTCTTCTACTTCAACACGTTTCGGAGCACCCTGTCTTTACAGGACTTGGGTCATCACCTGTAAGGTAGGGCTATTACAGGACGTTTTCTTTTAGTCCAAGGTCATCGAGTCAAAGGCCTAAGCGTCTACTTTTCAAATGACTCTGTAGAGTTGTGCCGCCGATTTTGTTTAAGAGATATGAGCACAAATCGAACAACAGTTGCAACGAAGTGCGGCAACGCGAACGACGCGTGCGACGCCGCAACTTTTCATTGCTTCGAATTCAAAGAGAAAAACCGTGGTTTCGATAATGATGTGTACCGTGTACAAAATAGATACTTTTGAATACTATTTGAAACTGAGTTCGTGTTCCTATCTTTCAAGAAAGCACAACAGCAGAGGTGCGATAGTCGGAGCCGAATCTCCGCCTACCTTCACTTTTGAGCTGGTACGGGGTGACCACCTTCACTTTTGTGTTTCAAAAAATTTTTTTGCTGAAGCTTAAAAGAGGGAAAATAAGAAAAATGAACGCAAAAGAAAATATTGAGAGCATATATCTATGTAGTAAGTCGATCTAGGCAGTAACCGCCGAGAACCAGAATTTCGAATGATAAAAGAGCGAAAAAATCATGCGAAATTTCCACTGTTATAAATCTGGTGATTGAAGATGTCAGCAATTGCGACTTCATAGGTTTTGAAAAGTGAGTGTTGTTCTACCAGATAGTGAAAAAATCAGGTCGATCTGAGCAGTGACCGCCGAGAACGAGGATTTTAAAAAATTAAGCGATTTTAGGTTACTTAGTGACAGCTGACGTTCAGACTCCTATAAATCTGGAATGTGAGGGTGTGCAATGTTGCGACTTTATAGGTTTTGTAGAGTAAGAATTGCTCTATCGGATTATGTCTTAGCCGTACCGATCCATCAAGATAACGCCGAGATTCAGGCTCTTAAAAAATAGGAGAAAAACCGCTTTTTGAAATTCAACAGCTCATAACTTCTTCAGAATTGCATGAATCATATTGCGACTTCATAGGTTAGATTCTTCTCATCAAGAGCTTTCAGAAGATATATAATATGTGGGGGTTTCGCGCCTGTTACGGCATATGCCCGGGGGTGGAGACTTTTCACCCCAAAGTCTCCACTGGCGGTCTCCGGCCAATACATTAACATGGGCGAGGTGGAGACTTTGGGGTGAAAAGTCTCCACCCTGGGTTAGAGCCGCAAAAATCATTGAGCCCCCCACATATTTGTTATCATCTGAAAGCTCTTGATGAGAAGAATCTAACCTATGAAGTCGCAACATGATTCATGCAATTCTGAAGAAGTTATGAGCTGTTGAAATTTAAAAAGCGGTTTTTTACCTGTTTCTTTAAGAGCCTGAATCTCGGCGGTATTTTGATGGATCGTTAAGTCTAAAGCACAGTCCGATAGAGCAATTCACACTCTACAAAATTTATGAAGTCGCAACATTGCACACCCTCACATTCCAGATTTATAGGAGTCTAAACGCCAGCTGTCATTAAGTAACCTAAAATCGCTTAATTTTTTGAAATTCTCGTTCTCGGCGGCCACCCTTCAAATCAAACTGATTGTTTCACTCTCTGGTAGAACAACACTTGCCCTTTAAATCCTATGAAGTCGCAATTGCTGACATCTTCAACCGCAAGATTTATAAAAGTGGAAATTTCGCATACTTTATCGTTATTTTATTATTCCAAATTCTGGTTCTCGGCGGTTACTGCCTGGATCGACCTACTTCCTTCGCAGTGCGTTATAAAAAAATTTACTTGATAAAATCTGTGAAGTCTCGCTGACTCTCACTTTAAAACACACCATTTACTAAACACGTTTGTTTTAAATATACATATATGCCGCCGTATACATAAGAATATGCTTTCAATAATCTTTTTTTGCGTTTGTTTTGCTTATTTTCCGCGCACTGTCGGCAACGACCTGGAAGGATAGGCTCAGTCGACGTTAACGCCCCCCCCCCGGTCGACGTTTTTGGAAGGTGAGTGTCCGGCACCACCTTCACTTTTGGTCGGCCAGTGGTAGCTGGAACCACCTTCACTTTTGGGGGGCCCGGCTCCACCTATCGCACCTCTGCACAAGAGTCCCTCTCAAGCAACAAAATTCAAACACTTCGAATCCACTCAGAACTTTATAGCTTATCTGACATGCTGATTAGAAATGTGGCCCACAGGCTGCGAAATAAGGTCCCTTTGTTGGTTAACGGCCGAAAGTACACTTTTTTCGCCGCCGCGATTTCGCGGTCCGAAACGTGTTAAAGAATCCGGAAATGTATTGCGGGCAAGCTTCTTCCTTTACCTTAGCTATCGCCGTTCAGAGAAGTCAAAAAGAAGGCCCAGCCTGCATATGTGTCTTGAAGGCACCGTGCACCCTAAGTTGAGGGTCTTGAGCTTTTGGCAGCGTATGATATTAGGGCCCCACTATCAAACCAATGCCCAAGTCGCAAAGCAAAATGTAGCTTCGAAAGCGAGAAAATCGCTCCGAAATAAGGGAGATGCACGAGGACCCTCAGGCGGCATCGCCCTTCCCATCCATGCCCACTCATCCGCGCGCGCCCAGCAATCACCGTTCCGGAAAACCGGCCTGCGGGTAACCCGAATTCATATTCGGAATCAGGGACAAAGAAAGCCCCGTATCGATCAAAACATGGAAGTTGAGAATCTGTGTGGACGGTGCCTTAAACGTCAATACAGAAGCCGGCAAATGTCCAAAGCCGAACCGCACATCGCGAGCCACTTCAGGTAAAGTTTTCTCGCTAGGAAAACTCATTAAACGTAGGAAAAACCCACATCAAATGGGATCTAGGCGAATAAAAAGATCCCAGATGAAAAAAAAAGATCATGAAGACCACCTCAATTCAGGTAAAACTGCTTATGAGTGCATTTGTTATTGCCCAAAACCATTTGTCTACTCAAGACGGGCAGGAATGCTCGGATCTTTCAAATTGTCAAAGACACCTTCCGTGACTGCCCGGCAGAGTGACAGCTTAATTAGACAACTGATGCTATCACCTGCAAGATTTCATGACTCACACCAGTTTTAGAAAAATGTTTGCGTGATTACTCCATTTTCAGTACTTCGACCTATCATTCATTAAGATTATTTTGTTTGCTCTATATTTTAATTATTATAATAAGCGGCTTAATCTAAAGTTATGTGGAGTTTGTCCGTTACGAAATTACAGTGAGGAATGATTTACGATACTAAACATCATGTGAGGTTAAGATAGCGAGTATGGTTCATTTTTAACTACAGCTCACGTTGCAATAAACCGAACAATGATTTGAGAGACAAGCTCACAGAAAGTGAGTTTACCACGGTTCACGATGCCAGTGCGAACCTCTGCGAAGCAGAGGTGAAGCACTGGTATTTTGATAAGTCCATGAGCCTCAATAATTTTTCACAAACTAATAAAGAAGTGTTCTTGCTTCAAATGTGCTTGGCATCCGGCAATAACGACCCGCGCCTTTTGGTGTTGAAAAAAAACGGGTGCATAATATATGCATAATATCTCAGACAATCACAGGCTCTCAGCCGGCACCCACAAAGCCACCGCGAAAACCCACCAAAAGCGCGGTGGCCTCATCGCCTCACTGTCGCTTCCCGCTGAGAACTGGCAGCGAGCGGGCTGCTATAAAGCCTTCAGCGCGAAGCGAAAGCGGCGGTTTCGCTTCGCGCTGAAGGCTTTATAGCAGCCCGCTCGCTGCCAGTTCTCAGCGGGAAGCGACAGTGAGGCGATGAGGCCACTGCGCTTTTGGTGGGTTTTCGCGGTGGCTTTGTGGCCGCCGGCTGAGAGCCTGTGATTGTCTGAGATATTGCATATTTTGCACAATATATTTCTCAAGAAAGTGATTTTTCGGATTTTATTTTCAAAAAATCATAACTTTTGAAAGAAGAGCTCGATCAGCACAAACTTAACTCACTTAGTAATCAAATATAAGAAAAATTAGGATAATGGCCTTTCTGGATTTTATCGCGCAGTTTCTAGATTTTTGGAATTGTTTCTCAAAAATTCCGAATTTCGGATGTTTTCGTTTTTTCATTTTTATCTCTGCAATCTGAACATGCTGGAAAGTCTCCAGGGGACTATTGGAAACTACATGCTTTACGCTTTCTAATAAAATTCTAATTGCGCAAAATCATTGTGAGGGAAGGAAGTTATGATTTTTTGAAAATGGTGCGAACGAACTTTCGGACCAACCTGATATATATATATATATATTAGGTTGATGCAAAAATAATGAGCGATTTTATTTGCTTGCTTTATCAAAGCAACCAGACTCGACCCAACAAAGGGTAAGGGGTACTGTTCGATAGAGCAAAGCAAGCTCTACAAGATGGCATTTATGTCTTTGCGCCATGCTCGATCCACGGAGAGTTCGAACTCAAAATCTAAAGATTTCCAAATGCCCAAAAAATCGAAAAAAATCAGATCTTTGTCCAAATAATTTAATGGGGCCTCCCACTCGCTCACATCAATACTATCGATATCTGA